CAATCAAACGGACCCTTATTTTTAAAAAGCCATATTTTTGTTTAAAAGACAAATAAATATTGATTGGATCTCTCTCTCTCTCTCTCTCTCTCTCTCTCTCTCTCTCTCTTTGTTATTTATATTTTATTAAATTTAAAATTTTACTTATTTTACTTGTCAAAACTTAAACCTAAGTAATTCACGAGTCTTTTTTGAAGAGGACATAGGCTACAAATTAAAAAAATTAAATACCTCAATTCTAGATATATTTGTACAAATATTACAGGTTGGAGATTTTTTTCTCATTCTTTTAATTTCTCGAAACATCCGAAACCATCGTAATGAATTCTAACTTATTATTGATTGCTCATCGTTATATCACGTCTCATCAGCACGATAGATTAGACTTTTTTTTTTTACACCTTTTTTTATTTAATTTATTACGTCAACACTCTCTACTCTTTAAAAAAAAAAAAAAAGTCGCAAGTGAAATTAGAGAATAAGACATTGGTGAAACGAAGCATAAGTTTCAATTTTTTCTATTCTCTCCTCTTTATTCCCTTCATGTGGCTACAACGATGTTCCTTTCGGATAAGTAATCACTAATTACCAATAAAATAAAGATATTAATTAATATTAATTGACTTTTCCATGCAAATATAAAATGGCAATTAGCTTATTTAATTATTCTTTGTCACCACATAAGACAAGACACTAAGTAATGCAACGATATTTATTTTTATTTCTTAAGTAAGTTGCAATATTCAACTTTAGGCAATATTTAATCGTTAAAACCAACATATTAGGACAAATTTGGAATCTTCATTGAGTTGGTTTTCGACGATTTACCTTTAAGTTTGGGATAAACACGTATTTTGGAGCCAAACTCGCTCTTCATTATGTATTGAACAAATGTATAAACTAGATTTATCGACCAGTTCAACTAAGAGTTGGATGTATATATATCATATTACGTTGTTATGAATATCATTAATATCATATAAAACTTCAATATTTAGTTGTTCATACAGTTTTTATTTTAATATTGACGATTATGTATCAATTTTTGAATATAGTTGGAGATTTCTTCGGTTGATCTCAAGTCAAGTTTATAAATATTAGAAAATGATAATGATAATAATAATAATTTAATTCAAAATCAGTACTCGGACGACTTTGAATCCGTCTAACATGACTTTTGCTTTAGCTTCCTGTAGAAGAACTTTTGGAAGAAATTATCTAATTTTTTCTTTGAAAACTAATTTTTAAAAGAGTTTTCTATTCCAAAAGTGCTTTTAGATGAAGTCACGTTGAGCCATCTTCCTAGAAGAAGCATTTTCATAAAATTAGTCAAACGGTTCCAAAAGTTGTATCTGGATCTCTAAACCTTATTTTAACTTTTCAAAAATCATGTCAAATGAACCCGTTTACATGTGAGTACAATAATCGAGAGAAGCTTGTCGATAAGAAAAAATAATTAAAGAAATTAATTTGGGGATAAGCACTTAAATGCCGGCATCTTGATGCTAAATTGGCAAAGACAAATTCAACTCAATTAAAGACATAGCCTCGTCGTATTGGTATGTCATGTCCAAATTTTCCAACACTAGCACATTTTTTACATAAGACACATATTTCAAAATTTCGTACGTCAGTCGTAATCTAAATAATTAAATGTTCAATACCTAACATAAATAATTTTGAAAGTGAAAGTGATAATCCAACTATATTTTTTCTCAGTAAGGGTCTACATTTTTTACTATATATATGTCTACCTTGGTACGTCATTTATTTTCATACTAATCACATGGCTATTATTGCAGAAATGAGAGTCAACAATTGAAAATTTTTAATATATAGTCAAGTCAAAGTGTTATATAATATTTTTTAAAAATTGACTCGAACAAATTGTTATTTAATTTCGATTAATTTGACTCACTTGTTAGTCGAACTCACGAGAATTCATAAAAAAAATTGTAATGTTTGAATAAGCAAATAAATCAATTTCAAAACTTGAGACTAAACTTCAAACGTTGATCTTGTCCAAAGAGTCAAAATTATACGCGATCATCCAATCATTTTAATTGTATAAAAATGATCATTTTTGAACTTTGAGAAGTACGACTAGACTTTCTTGTTTGTGATATTTGTGAAATATTTTAGACGACATTTGAAATCTAGTATAACTAAATTTTCAGTAGATATATCGATGAACTACATATATTAAATATTATTGAAAAAACAAAGTTACATTATTATTGTTGGGTAGTATTTTAATTATATAATAATTATAGTGAGACAAGCACAAGCTATATGGACATGGGAGGGATCCAAATCCTTCCACTTGTACCAAAATTCTTTGATTCCTTTTGTCACATATTTTGTCACTTCCATCAATTGGGTCAATCTATAGGTTCATGATTTTCGTTTCTTTGAAAATTATGTTAAAAGTTATTTTCATAAACCTTGTTACATGAATAGGGTCGACGACATGATTTTTTATAGGAGGGACACGTATTGTTATTTGAGAACAATACATTTCTAAGGTATTTACTTTACACCTTTTCAAAAGTACAAAAATAAGTTTGAAAATTCACAAATCAGGTTTTTTAAAATTTTAATTAATAATTAATGAATTATTAAATCAATTTATTATTAAATATTTAATTCTA